CGTTGTATTGAAACCGATTAGCTAGAAATAGGCAACCAGATGGTTAGGTAACTCCTGAACAGCGGAGGATGCCGAAGATACTATCATAGGGTCGATGCAGTTCATGTGTACGTTTAACCGTGAATTGCCGTTTGGATCTCAGGAAATTCAACTGACTGGTCCCACCATTTGAGCGGAATCATCAAGCTCTTATTACACTTTAAACGATTACAAATACTGGTGCAAACTGGCTCTAGATAAAACTGTTTCACCTGCTGGTGGTCTATCCGTTAATCATCAAAAATAGGTTCTAAGTGAATAACACATTACGACAAATAAAATGCTATAAGCGAAGAACTCGCTGGTTTTCAGGCCAAAGTGGCCTTCATAACAAGTTGATGAAGTCAATCCACTTTTAATAACAAGCACAGCACACAAGCACTAGGTTGCCTGGTGTTGTGACAATGGATAATCAATGTGTTATCCCGGCAATATAGAAATATAAACATATCAAATCATCTGTCTTCGGGACCTCGGCAGTCGGCAAAACAAGTTCGAATGCGCACGCACACGCGGTATGACATTTTGGTGACAAGAACCATTGTGTTTGGTGGCGAGGGGAGGAGGAGAGGGAGGTGGCGCTGCGCTCAATCTTTCTGCGTTTGGGTGCCCAGTAACCGCAAGTAATTGGACAAGAAACAGTGCATAGGCCTTTTCCCTTAATTATTTGCGAATTTCGTGAAATCACAATCGATTCTGATGGTTACAAGGAAGTTTTTAAAATGGTAAATACAAGTGAACCAAATTCATTTGACAGTTATGTTTACCCAATGATCCCTGATTTAGTGACCCGCTCGACTGAAATTCATGTTTGTCATAATGTTTCGACCAATTATTGGATCGTAGCGAATTTCAGTTTATATCAAAGGACGTCACATACATAAACACAATCGCCGTTGTCTTCTGTTGTAAATTTGAAGTTTACACTGAAAATGATCTTATCAAGGACGATATGGTTATGGCACAAGTAGATGTGTATTGGCCTAAGTGTAATGGCTCAGGTGGGATTCGAACCTGGGTTCCTGCTCACGATTCAGCCATTCTTTGTTGACTATATACAAACTTGTAACCATATAAACTACCTGCAGCTTTGAGGAAACGTGAGTAAGATCAGTAGGACAGCCAAAGCTTTCAGGTATGTGTCCCGCAGAAGGACTAGAGAAATATGTTTATAAGAAAAATGAGCTTATAGTTCCTCTGGCTGACTGAAGAAGTTTCAGTTTTTAGAACGTGGGAAGCGGCCAGTTAGAGAACTGCATTTGGTTGCGCATGAGTATGAAATCACAATGGTGTTAACGGTAGGACTCAAACACACAACCTTTGGTTTAGTGGAATGGTGATCACTCTTTGTTCAAACCGTTTTTAAGGGGAAAGTATAAAAATTCGGAGTGGAGGAGCGGACATACACATGTCCACTAACCCTATCGAGGACAAACGTTCACGTATGACGGTGGATCGGTCGGTGGGGGGGGGGCACGCGCATAGACGTAGTGGGGTAGACAGATACCCGTCTGTGTGTGTGTGTGCGTGTGTGCAGATGGACAATTCGGGTATTACCCGCTAGCTCTTTTTCACCCTCAGTCCTAGTTGGCTATCTGGCCTGGCAATGTCGCTGAACTCTATATCAGTGCACTTGTATGATCAGTGTCTTGCCGTAATTTCCACCCAGTACCAAGGGTCATAGTATAGTGAGCGAGCCACCGCTATATTGTCATTGATGCCTAGTGTCGATTTTCAGCACAGAGAAGTGAGTACTTAAAGAGCACTACCTCTGTGTAGTAATGAACGTGAACAGAATCTATTTCTACTTTTTATCTCAGTGGCAATTTTTAGCCATATTTTGATACTCATTGAAAATGAATGCAATAAAGAAGCACTAGATGATCACGCTTGACTTGTACTTAATAAGGATTGGTCATTAATTTCGACTGATAGTCGTTGCACCAGGTATACTGTTACCGCAAAAATAATCAACCGCTTAACCCAAGGTGGTCGTCTGACGGACACCTACGCGACTCACATGGTTGAATATGCTTTTTGCATTACATGGGATAAACCCCATAATTACGGAATCTTACAGATGACTGATGGTAATCCGTAAACTTAGCCCTAGAACGTGGTATGACAGCAAAGCCGTCTGCAACCTAAGCCACAAGACCGACCCATCTGACCACCCACTCATCCTTACACACACACACACACAGACTCAGTGAATATACATTCGTGGCGATTCCCAACTTTTCTATCCTACTAGCATATAAGTAGCTTTCTCTGTTTCCAATTTGTTCAATGTTAAAGTGCCATAGAAAGGTTAATCACTTTCTACGTGTATTCCGTCTCCTAATCCTCAAATGTGTGTACTGTGTGTCTTCAACTTCCCCTCAGTTTGATTTGATAAGAGAGGATCGATTTGCACAGGTTCCCATGCACGTTTCATCTCGTACTACACTCTGTCGTCCGATACCTTCTTGGCTTACTGTTGACAGCTACGATTGACAGTTTAAAAACATACATGTTAGATTTCGGAGTCTTCGGTCAACAGATGTGACTGGCTTTAAACTGTTGACAGGATCACAAAGGTGGAGAGTGCGGGATGCGAGGGGGGGGGGAGGNGGGGGGAGGTGCAGGTTATACGAGGAATCGGAAGGGAGTTACGTAATCAGAATGACGTTTCACAACGTGACTAAATTCATCAGTCGTGTGTGTTACCATCGTGACCATAGAAGAATAGTTTTCATTTATAGACGTTCAACTAAAGCCGTCGAAAGGTAGCAACGTAGCCGGTTATTGACTGAGCATCTATTTGCTTTCTCCGTAAAGATAAGAAGGAGCAGACTGTAAATGACTGAAAAGTATGAGCACATTTACGAGAGATCAGGCGAGCCGGATTACATGATGCTACTACTATTATCGGTGCTGCTAAATTTTACTTCATCCAACAGACAGCTCCATATAGTTGGTTTCCAAAAAGGCGGAGACTGATACCTATAAAAATCAGTTTGGGGAAATCCGTAACTGAAGGAGTTCGTTGGCGGTGTTGGAATTCGAACACAAAAGAGCTCTGAGGTTTTTGTGGTGATGAACATCATCGCATCTGGTTGTTTAGCCTAGTTGTCACCATTACTCCCCATCCCATCGATATTAGTCACACTGACTGCCGGACGTTGAGGAATAGTGCAATCCTGCACAAGCTTTGTTGCCAGAAATAATCTATCGAGCAGTTCCAAATGATACGAGTTATCCTATATACTTGGAGCCATATAAACAGCCACATTTTTCATTTATCGCGGAACTAATTTTACCCTTTTGTCAAAACAGGTGAAATTGAACAAATAGATATTGCAGCGATACTACGGATGTGTTGAATTTGGCAGGTGTCAAAAGCGCCTATGGAAGCTTGTAGCAGGTTATCGTCTTTACGTCGGACGGTCTGAGAGATATATTTATGCAAACAATGTCCATAAAAGTATAATGTATTATTGGTATTTTTCTCCTGAGATGATCTTTTCTGCCAGTCGCTTAAAATAGGCGAGATATTACCAGGAAAAAGAGAAAAGGTGATATATAATCATAGATAGGCACGTGACGGCGAGATTTAGAGAGCTATTGAATTGAGTTCCTGAAAGATTGACTGACAGCTATCTCGTACATTTTTATTTGTTTATGGTGAAATTAATCGAAGGATAACATTTTCCATCAACCTTACCTCTTTTTGTTGTCTGTGTTGCAGCTAAGTCACTACTATTGCTGTGAGGTACTACTCACATTTGTGAGTCGTATGCAGCATAGTGCTGTTGGTGGTGGTTTTCTTCGACGATCAAAAATTAACAAGACCACTGAGGGCGATTTGCTGTGCCCCAAAGAATAACTACGAACTGCTCCATTCCTTACCCGGTGTGCTGCCGGGAATTGAGATGGAATGTTTCAAATGCGATTTGTGTTATATGTGTGCCAAATTACTGATATCCTAACTGTAACCTGCAATTAACAATTTTCTTCTACCGGGCACCACCTTCTGGAATTATAAAACTTTTAGTCTATGAATGAAATGTTAGGTGTACAAAGCTTATTGTCGCTGGCGATATGAAAAAATCTGAGCTCGTCACCTATGGATGAATGATGACGGCGCACACAGAGACCATGAGATTTCAGTATGTTATTTCTGGTCTCTCAACTATTAACTCTGAGGTTGGACGGGCTCGCTATAGGTAACTCTGTTTTAACGAACACAACAATTATGAGCTTGCAGACATCACTTTCTTTCCATTTATGTGGCCGATATTTTCATCTAAACTAGTTTTCACGCTTCTTTGGATACAAAATTAGTACGTCGGTACATGATTCACGCGAAATCGGACACTGGGGACGGAAAATGGACGCATAACTGTCAAGTTTCAACAAGGAGTTAACAGTTGCCTTGTCACGGCCATTGTGTATAAATGTAATGCCAATCCAATTTACACGCCTTCAATCGGATAGTAAACTTGCGAGAAGTGTGAAGAGAAATGTCCCACTTTCTTCGTGATAATCTTGATTTAGCCCATTGCAGTTTTATCATGCGCAGGCCGGTGTAAAATTTCAACAGTGACGAGTCAGTACTTTGTGAGTTGGATGAATGGCGCTTATTTTCGGATGAATGAATGGTGAATTTTTCCTAACTAACTTCTCGTTACCACATCTTTCTATTTATTGACTGGACTACAAGCATCAAATGGATTCCCAAGTTTAACAGTCAACCAAACTACGTACCAGAATAATCGAAAAAACCAGCAAAAATCCAAATAATGGAGTGGGGTCAGATAAAAATCGTGTTTGAACACAAAAGAAACTCACAGTATTTTCAAAGCAGAGGTTTCTCCAAACGTCAAGTTGTTCAAACACGTGAGTTCGTTGTGCTGTAAAAGTCTGTGGAAAAGAGACGTTTGGTTACGTCGCTTAGAGGACGGAAGAAAGGCACTTACAGAACTTGTAACTCGTTCAATCCTTTCAGTATGCGATGATCGAAGGAACTCAAAGAATTGTTGCTCAGAATTCTGTTTGGACAGGGGTCGGGTGGGGAAGGGGTGAGTGTGGAATGGCGGTGGGGAGATAAGATAAAGATCGAGGGCCGGTTAGAGTGGTATGGCGAGATAGAGAAAGAAATAAACGAAATATCCTCTTGGAGTCCTGTGACGGTTTAGATTTCATACTTCGTGTTCAATTCTCCACCGTATCCCACCCAACGTACGCATCGCGAAGTATTCGATACGCAAAGACAAAGTGAATCACACACACAGCCCCTAATGTTCACCGCTTTTGTGGGGTGGTATGACAACGCGTGTGTACAGTTGTGCTCGTTCTGTCCGAGACCACGACAAATGTGAGTTTGACATCAGCCTGTACGTATTACATCGAATCTGCATTATTCACAGCCGTTTGCCACACAGCGTTGACCTAAATTTAATACAGCAATAAATGTACCGGGGAAAAATATCCTGCCATTCTACTTCCCTGTTCTCACTGAGCGTGTGCGCATTGTGTGGGTGTTCGTGTGTGCATACCATGTGTTGTTTTAGTTACGTACCCGCTTTTCAATCGAATCACTAGTAGTCTGAAAAGCTGAGATTTGAATGCTGCTAATTTACGTTGGGGAAGTTTATCAGTTATCGGTTCTCTATTCACGAAACCAATTTGGCTTCAACAATTGTTAATTGACTTCATCCGAGGAAAACGTGATAAAAAATATCTATTTGGCCTATTAGGAATTTGTAATTTGATTGGTGATCAAGATATCAGCTTATGCAGGTTATAAAGCAATGGCCAGAAAATAGAACATCTGGGGTTATGAGGTCTCACTCTCGAGCACCTCAACCCGGAGGGCTTTTTTGACTGGATTTTATTGTTTGGTATGGTTTTAATCAAGAACACGCTGACAATCATAACAACTCATTTTCGGTGTCACATATTTTCAAAAGAACACGGATGCAATCAGTGAATTTATGAGGTAATTTCTGCAAAACGAAACAAAGGGTATGCAATTCTCAACTTCCTCCGGCCTCGTAAATCTTTCATCACAAACACCGGTAGGTTTGCGCAGCCTAGATATTCTGTCCGAGAGTCATCTTTTCCATGTTTCATTCCCGGTCGATCCAAGTGGAGTATGAAATAAACGATCTTCATAAACCGGTCTTGAAATAGGTTCGGGAAACACCCAGCGCAATAGTTGGATCCAGTTGTTGGTAAATGAAAACATTCCAAATTAATGCACTCTCTGTGTTTCATCATATGTCTCGTGTACTTTAGTTTGGTTTGATTTAACCCACAGCTGTTACATTCACATCTGCGACCCAATCAAACATGATCTCGCTCTCTCGTCGAAGTAACCGAATGACTAATTTACTCGTTTTGATCACAAACCTCAAACATTTATCCGTTTTTGACTGATTTTTCTCACCCTTTAAATCCTGATAAATCATTCGATTTGCTTATAATCTTGGTTGTATACTTCCTGCCTGAGGAGTTTCTCTATAGTTGTTGAGTGTATTTCAGTTGCTATAGATTTCTTTGTTTGATGATCGAACGAAAGCACTGGACTGTTGTATTACTCTGATTGGGACTCCTCATCTTTAGTTTTTGTGTGTGAAACGTTTCTATCCCTTTTGAGACTCGAACCATAAACCCTTGGGTTGAGAGCTTCACGGTTAGCAGCCAAAACCTTGAACAACTAACCGGATCAGTTTAGAATATCGTGTTTGTATCAGTCTATTCCATTTGTATATACACAATTAACTATTCATGATTTCGCTCGACCTGGCCTTCCGATCTAACTTTATTGATTGTCTGTATTCATCGTCACCTACTTTACCTTACGGTTACCATTTGCGGTTTTCGCGATTGTGTTTTACTGTCTTATGAGCACGGATAGCTCTCTATGTCTTTCTCAGTCTGTGATTACAGGCAAAACAAGTTAAGTGGAAGTTACCCTTGGTGAAACGTCACTGGTTTCTGAGTTACAACCCCTTTGGAAAAATTAGATAAATGTGTGGCTTCTTATTGGGTATTGGAACTTATTTCACTCTGTGAGATAAATAAAAACATTTTATTTGTAATTCTGTAGTTCGTATTCGAACAGGCGAGGAACTAAACTCACAGCTTTCTCAATTCCCGATTCGAACGAAATGCCAGATTATCGATTTTCTCAATTCGATTTCCTTCTAAAAGCCTATGAAAAGACGGATAAAAATGAAAGCGTTTTGAATAAAACCTAGATTAGTAATATATATAAATACATATATATATACATCAGACAGCATAGGATGAAGTGCAAACGGATAGCAAATGTACACGAGAGACATGTAATCCAAAAATAATTATCGCCTTGTGGCCTCTGGTGTGCTGTTCTGCCATCAAATAAATTAGGAATGAAGAATCCGGATGGAATTCGGAGAAAGAGTTTTCACGAATAAACGCTATCTTGTTGATTTGAACTGACCATCCTTCAGACTTCACCCTAACGCCTAACCGTCGATTCCCACATTCAACTATACACTCGAAACACTAGACTCGAGTTTTGGTCTTATTAGAGCTCATCAGTAGTGCATTCCCACCGGTCTGGGCTTTGGACTCAGGACTCATCGCACGGAAAGTGTGTGTTACCAATGTGACAATCAGCTCATGCCATGGTTGAACCGGATTGTCAATTCATGTTTGTTCAGGTGTCGTCTCGGAGGGTCATTTCAAATCATTATTAAAGTGAAACGCTATTTTACAGATTCTGCTCACAATTATTGGGACTGACTGTGCCAAACACAAAAAAACGTGAATTTAAAACCAAGCAATGGAATGGCTAACGTTAAAGTTAAAGCCACCAACAGTATTTTATATAAGTAGGCCAAAACATTAGTTATCGAGAAAATCGTTTGATCTAGTGCACACGGGGCGTTCAACTGAGCTGGAATGCTCATAGTTGCAGTCCTGTTGACAATCCTGTGTCAGTATACGAGGAGTCTAAACTCTCCAATCCACATTTTGTTTGAACACTGTCAGACGGCTCCGTCTAAATTTTTGAAGTCTTACCCACATGTGGTATTTATGCTTCTCCCGAAAAGTATCTGCTTTTGCGATAAAGAGCATATAAGCGGCTGGAGGTGTAAACATTTTAGATTTGGTTTTATTGCATTTTTTTAATAAAACCAACTTTTTGTTGTGATTTCTCACTTTAGGATTCCACGCACCATTACAAGTGCTGATTGCTTTGTAAAGCTATGTTGGAAACCCCTCTGCAATTTTTCACATTGGACAGAAAACACATATAGTCAGTTTTCCATGACCAAAAGGCTACGAAGCCACCCCAGTGATTCGTTGATTTCGCACTAGCGATTGTGGAACCGATTTGATGATGTCTTCTTCTTCTCTGTTGTTGTTCTTGTTTCTCGCTCCTTACGAACACACAAACTGCACCGAGAAAATCATCTAGCAAACTTTAGAAATGTGAAAAGTCACTCATCTCAGCTATTTCTGTAGTTCATTCTCAATGATCATTGGGTACGTCCTCCTTTCGTTCATCATGACAATTTTATTATATACAATAAAAACTGTGACATGAAGGTCACAGTGGTATACTGTTATCCCTAGCCACGCCTTCACCACTCCCACCACCACCCCTTATCTCCCAAAAATAGTTGGGTGTGTTTATTTGCTTGCATTTCTTTGAACAGGTGGCTCAGTGTAGCACAGCTCGTACGATAATTCAGGCTATCTCCACTTTTCTACCACCCTACTGCCAGTGTAAAACGTATAACAGATCAGGTAGGTGATCAAAAAATGGCGCTGCAGGCTATGCCTGTTTTACTAGGCTCTAAAGATACGGTTACGGTGGTCTGGTTGAACAGGGCTTAAGTTGATTCAAACATGTATATTCAAACGTCGAGGGTGTGGCTACAGAATCTATCTGTCCCTGTTTGTGTGTACTAGTGTGCATGCGGGTGGTCGCTTGTTCCTTGTATATCACACTCTGGCACGCACAATCTGGCGCCGCAAATGGGGTTGCCATCGCGTGATGGATGAGGAAATAAAAATCCTTACTTACCTCGATTAAAAAGGCAAAACGACCACATTTGTGACCGTCTCTCACAAGCAGTAAAATGACTGTATCAGAAACTTTCTACCCCGCTTAGAACTGCAAACTATTTTGAAAACAAAAATTGTGCCAGCTTAAGTGTGCTCATATCCAACGGTTGTTGAACGGGTTGAGCGAAACATTCGTGTTTTTACGGTTATGAATTCTTCGTTATATTGTGTCGTAAACAAAATCGGCAAGTGAATTATCCAGGTGACTGGATTCCTTTTCACTACAGTATAGTTGCCTGATGAAGACCAATCAGTTACTATTGATCATTCTAGGACCAGTGATAAATGTATCAAATGATTGCACTTGCTCTTACTTTGCCGACGTACACAAGAAGTTCATTCTGCGACCATTTACGAGTCTTTTCAGCTACACTGGGCTGTAATTGAGATCCAAGTAAAGTAACCCAAAAAAATGACAATGCTTGGAATTAATGATGTTTCCCTAGTTCATTTCGGTTCATTTGAAAAACCGATGGGTTATACATCTCCCTCACAGCCAGTTCCGAAGAAGCGACTTCAATATAACGAACAACACGAACGAGGATGACCGCGGACAGACAAGCTAAATTGTTAGGACGGAGTAACGGAGGATCAATTTCGATTGTGCAATCAGATTCAAGAGCTGGATAGTGGAAAACATTGTGCAAGTGTTTATCCTTTGTATCCATTATCGGGGCTGATCAACCGTTTCACGGTATATATATATAATAAAAAATGTCTTTTTACTTTCTTTTGCTATTTATTGAATATGCGAATGTACAGCCAACTTTCAGGAAGGGAGCTGCGGCCATACGAAGACTGCCTGAGGAAAATACAGATATAGGCAAGACGGGCGGCGGTGAAGCGGTTTGAACCCGGGACATCCAGGTCACTAGTTGGTGACCTAACCACTTGACCACCACCGCTAACTCCCGCGCCGGGAGTCGAATCCGGGCAGCCTAGGTGAAAGCCAGGAATCCTCTGAAGCATTCCTTCTCACCACCTAGTGACAAAGGTGAAATGACGTAAAGGCAGTTTCCAAGGCCACATTCGGATTGATAAGTCAAAGGGAGCTAGGTCATCTGCGGGGCGTTGAAACCCCTGATTCTAAACTTTTCGAGAAGAGTCATATGACTTGGTTCGGGAATATCCTGGTAGTGACGGTCGCCTGCCCGGTTTACGGGATATACTGAATGCTTGAAATTGTCTTAAGGACGTAAGGTCCGAATGATTGAACAACGACACTTAATGAACTCCGGTCTTTACACCCAGCCCTGTTGCATTGCGGATCAAGTTTTGGTTGGCCAAATTGTTCGGTTGTTAATCCTCCATAAGATCAGCTGTTTTGACATGGAAAATCTGGTAATATTTTATCCACAATCAAACCATAGATTGGTTTCTTTGTGATACAGATTTATGTACCATGACCAATCTGAACGTCTGCACCCGGATATGTTTGAACAATTAACTCTGCCTTGGATTTGTTCTGTGGATTTTGCGGAATTCTAAAGATTATAGACTAGGGCAGAACGGTTACATACTAATTGATAAACCCTACATGACTCTGTATGTTGAATGGGGGACCCACATGTGAGAAGACCAGTGTCATCGATGTCGCCCCGTAGCTTAGTTCAATTCTGCCCTCAGCACGACCCGTTTCTTTGCACGGCAAATCGTGCTGACATCGAAAGAGGTTCCATATGTCTGCAGGTGATAACGGAGATGAAGGTGACTGGAATTGAACTAGAAAAGTTACGGCTAAATGTGTTCATTCTATCAAGTCATTCGGGTTCCACCTATCTACCCTACAACTATCTAATGTTAAGTTAAATTATTTCTTGTTTAAACACTGTAGCAATATGTCTCAGGAAACATGTGAGAATTACTTCTGGTAACTGACGAAGTGAGAAAATGGCCCTAGTCACTGATCATCACCGATGCAATTTGGGATCCTCAGATCAGAGGTATGTAGGATGTTCCCATAAAGCGTTATCAACCGGCGGTGTTGCGGGTATCCCTCGGGGTCACAGGTGTGCCGATCCATATGAGTGGTTAACATAACGAACATTTGGGCTGATAAGTTTTGATGTATTTTTATCTCTGCAAAAGCTTTGTATTAACAAACGAATTAAGAAAATGCCGAAATGTTTGCATGCGTTCCAAGTGAGCCGTTTCAGCTTTTTGTTTTCCGTCTGAACGCGCAACGGTCTGTACGAGCCAAGCTTAAAACCCCACCGCATTCCCAGGCCGAGAGATTCAGCATCATATTTGTTTGATTATAGTCTGCGAGTCTCCATACCTAGTTTACCGTTTATCGCTTCCCTGGTTCAATCCCGATTGTCTATGAAAGTTGTCTTCTTAGCTGTTTACTAGCAAGGGGAATCTTATTGCTTTCCTTCTTGATCCTCAACTCTGCGAACTCGTATATATGCTTACCATGTTTTCTAATTATCATAATTCCAATCCACCATGTTAGTGGCACTTTGAACCGGAACGATCCGGGTTAGGAATCCCAGATACAATCTCTTCGTTTGATCCATCGGTTGAACTAAGTAAACAACCCGGTCAATTCCATTTTACCCCGTCACGCAACACTTCGCATGTGATTATTTCCACTCAGCCCACTATTGATTTTCCACTAATGGGTTTTTTGAACTCACTCCCATATATATTTTGTCTATAAGTTACTCGTTATTGTTTGGTACTTTCCTGTTTGGTCGGTGAGCAACCGCCAGTGCTCCATTCTTTCTACTCACCTTCCCGCTCTCGCCGATAGATGCATTTACAAGACTTGTTAATTACAAGTCTTTTTTGTCATTCTTGTACACAGAAATAAATAGTTTTGCTTCACTCTTTTCACTGATTATAGAATTGTACAATAAATTCTTCGGAACGGGGTCGTGGCTACACGAATACAGCCTACTGAAAAACATATTGGGAAGATGGGCAGCGGTAGCCTGGTTCAAGCCCAGGATCTTCAGGTGGTTATTTCGACGACCTCAACACTAGGCGGCCACCGCAAAACAAAAACACACTTCTCAACCCAAACAGGTCCCCAAGTACGTCTTGGATTCCTACCTACGTATGAAAAAACATGCATGACACAGTTTGGACTTCACTATCTTCCTAATAACCTCTGACCCGGGACCCTTAAACATTGGTTTGTCAAGCTGGTTTCCGTTGTGCTAATGCAGTTGTATCCCATTCCGGTGCATTTTTTCTATTGAATCGTCTTACAGCGTGAGGTTTGTTTTTTGAAATCTAGTTATTCGGTACTGTAGTCAATATGTGGTATTCTGTCATGTACTGTGTATACCGTGGAATTACCAAACCGAATGATTTGACTATGCTAGTTTAGTCACCCTAGGCTTCGGTTAAGGAAATGTGCATTGGTATCAATGTCTGACTACTTGACGATGCAACTGTAGCTGAGGATTTGATTCGATTTTATTATGGAATTTGTCGTGTGCAGAGGAGGCGATGCAGTAACTGAAAAGCTGTTTCGACCTGATTTGGTCTCATCAGCAGTGCAAATCCATCCACTCAAATACGGATCGAACTCGAGGGCTAGTGCTCAGAGGAGCGAAGAGTGATGCCCTAAAGACGTTTCGTGAACACCAGTTGTGTTATACAGTGTCTATAGACAAAACGACTGGCTGCCCCGTGGTCAAGTGGACACTATGTTGCGTTCCACTGGTCAGTTCTCGGGTTTGATCCTCAGTTGAATCGATGAATTCGTACTGTTCATGAGACAACCAGATCGAAACAGCTCCATAGGGACACGCCTAGCCATTCAGCTGACGCTTCCTTTGCTCTGTACA